GGGCAGGGTCAGAGCCAGAGGGCATCACTGCTCTACGTCAGCGAGTTCGCCTGAGCGAAGGCAAAGGCTCCCTTCCTCTCACGCGCACCTTCCTGGCTTGGCACTCATCCTCTCAGCTCCAGCTTGCACGTCTGCACTCCCATGCTCGTGCAGCTCTTGTATGGCTTCTTCCGGGACATCTTGCTGTCAGGCTGCGTAGCAGCCCTGCTTCACGTGACGCTCCATGTCTTCTGCTGTCCTTTACATAATAAGCAAGTCCAAGCACAATGCCCTCAACATCCAATGTATAGAGAATATTTTAATATCTTAAATTTATGAAAATTCAATTCTACAGATTTATATTTCAAACAATGAAAATCAAAAAAGATTGAAAAGTATTTATATATGATAATTTCTATCTAAGTTTTTGAAGTCTTCATCTATATTGGCTACCTCAATGAACTTTATTTTTTTCCGGTATCGACTGGTTTTGGAATCGTTAGATCAAATCTCAAGTCAGCTTTATGACACTATTATCTTATCATCTTTTATGAGCAACGATTCTCTATTAACAAATCATTCTATATATCGAGATAGAGACTAAACTTAGCAAGATCGGATACCTTCTTGTTTAGGGGGGATGACCACATGGAGGATCTAAACCTCATATGACCGCCATAGGGAGCAAGCCTGCGTTGCTTTCCATGGGAGTCCGATCCGATGGTGCTGCTTCCGGCCAGGGGCCAAACTTGCTTTGCAAGCATCCCCTTTTATCCCCATGTTCTGGTCGGCTCCATACTGTGGCCCCATGGCCCAGCGTGGCCTGAAAATCCTGTACACATTGCCTGCCGGCGCAAAGCACTGCTGCAGAGACCTCCTTGAGGACTAGATTAGAAACTTCCTGTCCAAGCCTCTAGCCAACTGCTAGAAGTTCTCGGTTAACTGCAGGCCTGTTCGCCCGCGACGGAAGCGTTTTCACTCCGTCTCGTGAAGCTTCTGGAAAGGCTGCATCAAGCCAGCGCCGGCACTGGGGGCCACCCTGACTCCTGGTGGAATTTGTTGGGGCACCGTTCCGTGCAGTTGCCAACCGGAATCTTGGTTGTGTGCCGGCCACGTAGGGGCCATCTGAGGCACTTGCATCTCCCAGGTAGGGTTACTGGGCTGCATCTGGCCTGGGTAACCAGGGTAACCATGGCCCGCAGCGCCCAGGAAGCCCGTCTCCTGCATCCGCGCACGTGCGGCTTCCTTCCGGGCCCTCTTCTTCTCCCCCTCCCTTTGCTGAGCACGCTGGTACCATCTTCGCAGCAAGCAGCCGACCAAAGCCAGCAAGACCAGAGAACAAGGGATGGCTATGGCCATGATCACCGGCTGCCGATGACAAGACCACCAGTCGGCCCCCAGCTCAGGAGATCCCAAGCGGTGCCGAAGAGTCGCTTCGTTCATCCGCTGGGCCAAGTCTGCCACGCTGGACCTCCCGATTCCAGGGTAGTCAATAGCAACGGCATGGAGAGAATGGCCCAGCTTAAGCAAATCTTGGTGCACCACCTCAAGGGGCGAGATGTATCCCAGACATCCACATGAATATGCTGGGCACATCTCCTCAGCCTTGTACTTGTGCGGCTGAGCGTCGTCCTGAACGAGGTCCTTGTTGTACCTCCTGGACAGGGTCTTGATACAAGAGAGCTCCAACTCATCGACCAGGATCTCGGCTTCTTTGATCTGGCAAAACAGATCTTTGCACTGGTTGAAGGCCGCTGGGCTGGGTAACTTGGGAGCTCCAATGACGTTAAAGGCCAGCACGGCCTCCGGCAGCACGTTCTTCTCACCTCGGCCGTACTTCTGGAAGTCGGCTAAGAGGCTCTGGGAGGTGGCGCCAGGGTTCACCAACGGGTCGTAGCTGTTGTTCACCCACTCCTTCCAGTAGAAATCCCACACGACGACCCGTAGATTGTTGTCCACAAGATGCCCCAGGGTGATGTTCTCGTTGGGCCTGCCCTGCACCCAGCTGCTGGTTGGACCGCCGGTAGGCATTACAAAGCCAACGGTTCACTAGGAGTCTGACACACTAACACTCTCTTCCATAAGGACCCAGGTGCAAGGATGCATGAAGCTTGATCCCTGCGAGACCATGTGGACGCATTCGTGGTCGCAGTAACCTTGAGGCACGCGCCCGCCTCGCCGAAGTGACCACCCATGAGCGCTTCCCACTGCGAAGCCGCATTGAAGCCAATCCTTGATTACAGCTCTCTTGGAGCAGATAGAATCTGGGGTATGTACTGAATATACAATGGCTCTACATGTTCCATCTGCAGTCCCCACATGTTCATGACCCACACCAACAACTACGATTCACTAGACTATAGCTTACAGGCGCGTACTGGTTTCTGTCTCAGAGCGCTCTAACCATCCTTGAATCTGATTCCAAGTCTCTTTAGGTTGCCAGGCCACATGATGACCACTTCCCGGGTGTTTGCTCTCAGCCAGTCGGTGAATGTCTCGAGGCTGTTCGTGAACGGCTTGCCGTAGGCGGGCGGAACGCCATGGCAATTGAAGAGGACACCCGGCTCGGCCTCTTTGGAGCATAGGTCCAAGTTGAAGGCCCCGATTCCAAAGTCCAGCTGCTCCCTGAAGTTCTTGTCATGGTTCTCATAGACGCACTTCAGAGCATCGTTCACATTGAACCCTGGCACGCTTGAATCGATGAGGTCAGGGATGTCCAGCGAGAAGGCCCCAGCATTGTGCGTCGCAGCAAAGGTGACCTGGCGTCAGGGATCCCTTCTGCAATCTTGTTGAAATTCTTAATGTACACATGAAAACGTGTATATATATACATATGTATATATACACCCATATCAACTTACAGTCACATCTAACCTAATCATCTAATCATTAGATTCTACTGTTACTGTATTTGTTTGACATGACAGATGCCCGCCTGCGTCAGGGGCAAGTCACAAAACGCAGAGTTGCCATTGCAGGCGATGGCGGTGCCAAAGGTCGACACTCCCAGCACCAAGAGGGCTGCCTCAAGTCCCATGGCAATCGCCCTAAACCCTGCAAGAACTTGCAAAGCCTGAACAAGAATGCTGGCGTGGTCGATGTGAGTCTGGGGAGTGTAAGAAAACAGACGCCTACTCTTCAAGCACCTATCATATCCAGATATCTTAAATTCGAATGCTGGCAGTGAAAGTAGGCGAAACACAGGATAGGCGACGTGCGGACATCGGATTTGAATTCTGATCTGTTGGCCGCCGTCACTGCCAGTGTTCCAGGTCATTGCTGGAAGTACCGGCAGACATTATCCGGGAAGTGTGCTCTCAATCCAGAAAGAAAACTCGCGAGGAAATATCGGAGACGAGCCATCTCACTCCTTCCAGAAGCCCCTGAGCAAGAACTTAGAGCATCTTTCTATCGTGCGCTTCCGCAGTCCCCTCCAGGCCTCGCCCGTGTAGGCGGAGCAAGCCAGGATGCACCTGGTTGCACAAGAGATGCTCATGCAACGTGGAAGATTCACAGATTACCATCAGCTCATATCAGCTCACCAGTGCCGCCGCTTGATCTCTTCGAGCTGGAGGAAATCCCGAATCTCCGGCGCAGTCCTAACGGGACTTTGGACTGAGTAGAAGCCTCTTCTTTGATGTCAGCTTTAACCTCAGAGCTGCTCACATAGCTCCGGGTAGGTCTTGCTTGTTCGCGAAGATCAGCAACGTGGCGCCTCCCACACTGCAGCTATAGAACGGGCTGGGCCATGCAAGCCCAGACAAGTGTGCACAAATGGTGCAGGGACTCCTGCTAAGCGCTCCTCCTGGAGGAGCCGGTCCTGAAGTCAGGTGACCACCGCTTTGCAACTGGCAACACCCTTGATCTCTCGGTGACCGGCCAGCTCCTGCTTGCAATCCTGTGCAGGAGTCGCTCTTCTGATAATCTGATATGATTTATAATGTAATAGGTTCGAAGGCACGGGAAAAAAGCCCCGTCCTCCAAGCGCTGGCGATCCGCGGAGTCAACGACCTGAGTATAAGGTCCAACTCGGCAGCAGCTTTGGCGGGTCTGGATGGCACTGCGCACTAGGCCCAATGCCCACACAAGACCATCAGTCGCCTCAAAATAATTCCTCCAGCATGCAGGCACAAGCTCCGCACCGAAAGGTACTACGAGAGCAACAGATACACGGCTGCTTCCTCCAATAGCTTCGTATTGTCTTCTGTCCACCGATGTCCCAAATATTGAGCTTGTAGCCCTCGTACCTGTTCTAGCTGCTTCTATAGCTCATGCTCCGGTGCTGAACAAGCACAAGGTCTCAGTCTGCATCCAGGATGCTCGAGGGTCTTGATGTTGAAGCCGAGAGTCGGCGAAATGGTGTCCACTGGTTCACCATTGAACCTCCGCAGAAGTCTCTCCTAGACTACCGCAGAAAGTCACTAACAAGAACGCAGGATGATGAGTTTCAGCTGAGGTGGCGACTTCTTGAGAATAGTCGTTTTGCCTACAGTGCTCAAGGCTGGTAGGCTTCCATCTGGGCAACCCCAGTCCTGTGATGACCTGCATTGTCCAGGCCCAGCATAAGAAGGCGAACCTCCTGAATGTCGGCACTTGTTCTGTGGACATGTAGTGAACAGTTGGTGGAGCAGAAATTTCCACTGTCTGCATGAGGTTTGCCACGTGCAAGCCAGCATGGAGCTTCGATCCGGGGTCAAGAAACAAGGCCGATGCCTTCTCTTCCTGCTTCATCTTCCTACAGGCTTCAAGAGATTGGCTGCAATGCCATTACCTTTCATGGCCCTGGGGAGAGCCTGAGGATTTTCATCAGCCCCATGGCGGCAAAGAGCTGGGACTACTGGATTTCTTCCGGGTGAAACCTCCCCTTTCATGATACAGACAGCCATGGGTTCCGAGGTGTCTCTGATCAGCTTGCCCTCTCTGCCCGTCTTACAGTGGAAGAAGGGAAGCCGTCTACCTGCATATTTTTCATGGCGAGGAGGTCTGTTCTTTGTCATTCCGCCGTTTCTTGCTGCTGCTTGCTACGTGGTTTTGAGGAGAGTCTTGATTTGGCATGAAGCCATCATGAAGGTACGCTCTAGTTGCCAAGGGCTGCAAAGACAGAGCTGCTGCCCGGAGGCATGAGCCTTTGACGTGTGAAGCTGAATGCTGCACTGCAGGCACCTTTGCTCTTGGAAATGTCAAGCGGCCAGCAGCTTCGCATGGGAGCTTCCCGTTGCTGTGATATACGTCTACTTGACTGCCACCTTGAGCTCCTGCATCAACTCGGAGGCCCGCTTGCGGCCAAGGGCCCTGGAGAGCCCCGTCTGGACGTGCTGATTGGGGGAAAGGCCCTCGGCAACCGCCTCGCGGAAGAGGCTCTCTGCCCTTTCGGGCTCTTTCGGTCTGGCGGTCGCGTAGGCCAGCAACTGTGCATAGATGAAGTAGTCGTTTGGGCGGCAACCGCTTGCTCGCAGTTCCTCCCCCAGTCCTTCCACTTGCTGCCAGTGGCCTCTGTACGCGAAGGGCCGGGCTAGTGCAGAGTAGGTGACGACATGCGGCGCAATGCCTCTGGCCTGCATTCTTTTGAATACAGCCATTGCCCTTTCGCAATCCCCCGCTTTGCCACAAGCATCAATCACGCTGCTGTAGACAATGGCGTCGCTCTCGAGGCCAGCATCCTCAAGTTTCTGCAGCCACTGTTCCGCTTGATCGGCCTTGCCTGCCTTGGCGCAGGCGTTGATGACTGCGCTGTAGCTTCTGAGGTTCGGTCGGATCCCGAACTCCACCATTCGGGAATGCCAATGCTCAGCACGCTGCAAGTTACAGGCCTTCGCACAGGCATTGATCACTGCACCGAAAGAGATCACGTTCGGCTCGATGCCAAAGCCAATCATCTCAGTCATCCATTTCTCCGCCTTCTCCAGATCACCCGCCTTTGCTGCAGCATCGATCAAGGAAGCGTAGGTGGTCACCGTGGCGTCTAGGCCTCGGCTTCGCATTTCCTCTAGCCAGGCCTCAGCCGCCGAAATCCGGCCCTTCACGGAGCAGGCGTGGATCAGCGAGTTGTAGCTGATGCTGTCAGGTTCAATGCCCCTTCTCAGCATTTCTCGTTGCCATTTGCTTGCAGAATTCTCATCCCCACCACGTGCAAAGGCATGCACCACTGTGGCAAAGCTAATGACGTTGGCCTGAAGGCCCTTGTCCAGCATGCGCTGCAACCAAAACTCGCTTTCCTTGGCTTTGCCTGCCTTGGCACATGCATCCAGCACGGTGTTGTAGCTGCAAACCGTCGACTTGACGCCCTGCTTCTCCATGTGAGTTAACCATCGTCCCGCTGCCTGGTAATGGCCCTCTTTCGCATATGCCCGGATGACGAGGTTGTAGCTGAGGGTGTCTGGAAGGCCGTGCGAGGCCTCAAAATCCAGCACCAGCTTCTCCAGCACTGTTGCAGCCTTCTCTGAGGACGATGCCCGGCCCAGCTGGTAGTTTAAAGTCTGTTGGGCGGATTTCAAGGGCTTGGTGGGACTGGTGGGAGCTTGTGCTTCAGACCGGTCGGGCCGGCTCCCTTGGCTCTTGACAGCTTTTGATGCTTTGGGAGCTCGGGTCTTTAGGTAGAAGGCCTGGCAGCCACCAGCCAAAAGAAGACCACCCACTATCCAATCTGCGCTGCCAAACCTCAAAGTTGGAGATTCTCTGCCAGCGAAGAACGCATAGTCCGCGAGGAAGACTGTCAGGACTAGCCCAAGAAGTACGGCCACACGGATAAAGGTCTGTTTGCTAGCAGTTTCTGAAGTTTTCTCACTATCGGACTTTCCCATGAGCGACGGGGCTCAGAGCGGATATGAAGGATCGGTATCGAAATCCGTGGGGTTCCGGATGCTATCTTGCAACTGCATTCAATGGATGCTTGAGCCCGTGACAGTGCGGATTGAGGTGATACATGTGCCACCTGGTCTGGCAAGGAGTACGGACGTTGCGTTTCTCCGTCGCGTCTTCGGCCAGCTGTCAGTTCAGGCACACAGACCACAAAGCTTCTGCCTCGGATCCAACCAGGAGAGAGAACGGAGCACTGGCTTCCCGCAGCGGCACCTCATGCTGGATAAACTCGGTTTTGCCATCGCATATGTCTATCTCGCTTCCGTGTGGCGAGAGGCTCCAGCGTGTTGATATCCACTCGCTTCTTTCGCTGCAAGCATGCGCTCTCAAGCTTTCTGCGACCGCTTTGGTGCCATTTGCACCTTGCCACCATAGCCTCACCACCGGTTCGGTGGCAAGCTGGACTGCGAACTCCATGGACAAATCAGCTGCCAAGAAGCGAAGCTGAAACCTAGTGGATGTGGTGTCGATGCTGAGCACAAGCGGAGCAAACAATGTCCCAAGCCTTGTCTCGTGGTATCTGGGCACACCCTGCAACAGCCTGGTTGCAAAGGTGTGGCACAACGCGGATCCACGCCGCATGACGTAATTCAATCCTCTCTGCCTGGCCAGTGATTCTCGTGAATTGGCTGCAGTTTGCTTTGTGCGAGTAAGGCTAGAGCCCTGGCTAGCAATACGGTAGAGAAGCGCAAGCTGGGATCTACACTCCCCTAGCCTTGCCTGGCCTGGCGAGTTTGTAGAGGTGCTCCTGGCTCCTCTCCCTGAGCTCCGTGTCGCGCGACTCGCTGCCCCACCACCTGGAAGTCGGAGTCTCCGTGCCCTCGGAGCTGAGCAGAGAGTCTCCTGTGGGTGTGACGTGAGTCTGCAACAGCTGCCACAACCCTGGCCATTTCTTCAGATCGCCAGCCACATGAACCAAAGCAGCCGGCTCTCCACAAGTGCAGCAAGGCTCACCAAGCCGCTGTGAACTGCAGTATCGAGCTCGTGGTTCAGCGCCCAAGGCAGCGTACTCCCTGACCCTGGCTTGCCTCGAGCCCGTGAGTGGCACGAAGGCAAATGAGGAAAGCAGATCTGCGGCATCGGGGCAGTAGTGCTCCACCTGGCTACGAGACACGATGCCTGGGTAGCGATGCCTTGCGATCATTGCAGGTGGCCAAAGCTCCAGCTTCTCCCAGGCTGGGTGCCAATCAAGAGAAGGAAACAGCGACCACCGGCATGGCAGAAATCCCAGCACCGGCTCCCGAAAGCCATTCTTAGCCAGAAAGGCTTCGTCATTCAGGATGTTAAGGATGCCTTGATCACGCAAACATTCACCATCCGCACTTGTTCTCAAACCATGTTCTGCCGCCAGTAGGGTCAGATCTGTGAAGTTGGAGTCTCGCATCTTCTTCAAGTTGTACACCACCGTCCCTGCATTGA